AACTTGCTCTGTTTTACTCTAGTTTTTTGATAGCCCCGCCTTCTAATGCCACGTGACTAAACTCTCGCCGGCCTACGTCATAACGTTGGGAAATACCTTCGATAACGCGAGATCTCGTCAAGTCATGTGACATTGCTCATACCCTAATTTCCATTAAAAACATGGGTTGGTATAGAAAACGTTGGAAAATACTGTTCGTAAGGATCTTTGAAACATGTTATTGATACCACCTAGTGGATAAAGAATAGATCTTTCGATCCATTTGCGACATGTGTGTGAAAGTGACGATTTCTAAAATATCAGTTTGAAGTGCGACCCGTAATGGTGTCGCTTATTTCACGCATATAATCGACGACAGACCGATATAAAAAAAGTCGATAAATGTTCAGAATAATTCGGACTAAGGTGGCGCTGTGGATTTAGAGGCTACTGGCGTATTGGAGGTATATTTCACTGTCTTACATAGAGGCATTGTAGATTTGTACTAGTATTTTACAATCGTACTTAGGTTGCGCTGTGTATAATGTAACGGTAACAACTGGTTCACCGTTGTCAGTATAATGTAATGGTAACGTTGTCAGTATAATGTAACGGTAACAACTGGTTCATCCGTTGTCAGTATAATGTAATGGTAACGTTGTCAGTATAATGTAACGGAAACAACTGGTTCACCGTTGTCAGTATAATATAACGGTAACAACTGGTTCACAGTTGTCAGTATAATGTAACGGTAACAACTGATTCATCTGTTGTCAGTATAATGTAACGATAACAACTGCTTCATCCTTTGTCAGTATAATGTAACGGTAACAACTGGTCCATCCGTTGTCAGTATAATGTAACGGTAACAATTGGTTCACCGTTGTCAGTATAATATAACGGTAACAACTGATTCATCTGTTGTCAGTATAATGTAACGATAACAATTGGTTCACCGTTGTCAGTATAATATAACTGTAACAACTGATTCATCCGTTGTCAGTATAATGTAACGGTAACAATTGGTTCACCGTTGTCAGTATAATGTAACGGTAACAACTGGTTCAACCGTTGTCAGTATAATGTAACGGTAACAACTGGTTCATCCGTTGTCAGTATAATGTAACGGTAACATCAGGTCCATCCGTTGTCTTTATAATGTAACGGTAACAACTGGTTCATCCGTTGTCAGTATAATGTAACGGTAACAACTGGTTTATCCGTTGTCAGTATAATATAACGGTAACAACAGGTCCATCTGTTGTCAGTATAATATAACGGTAACAACTGGTCCATCCGTTGTCAGTATAATGTAACGGTAACATCAGGTCCATCCGTTGTCTTTATAATGTAACGGTAACAACTGGTTCATCTGTTGTCAGTATAATATAACGGTAACAACTGGTCCATCCGTTGTCAGTATAATATAACGGTAACAACAGGTCCATCTGTTGTCAGTATAATATAACGGTAACAACTGGTCCATCCGTTGTCAGAATAATGTAACGGTAACAACAGGTCCATCCGTTGTCAGTATAATGTAACGGTAACAACTGGTCCATCTGTTGTCAGTATAATGTAACGGTAACAACAGGTTCATCTGTTGTTAGTATAATGTAACGGTAACAACTGGTCCATCCGTTGTCAGTATAATGTAACGATAACAATTGGTTCATCTGTTATCAGTATAATGTAACAGCAACAACTGGTCCAACCGTTGTCAGTATAATGTAACGGTAACAACTGGTTCATCCGTTGTCAGTATTATGTAACGGTAACAACTGGTTCAACCGTTGTCAGTATAATGTAACGGTAACAACTGGTTCATCTGTTGTCAGTATAATGTAACGATAAGAATTGGTTCACCGTTGTCAGTATAATGTAACGGTAACAATTGGTTCAACCGTTGTCAGTATAATGTAACGGTAACAACTGGTTCAACCGTTGTCAGTATAATGTAACGGTAACAACTGGTTCAACCGTTGTCAGTATAATGTAACGGTAACAACTGGTTCATCTGTTGTCAGTATGATATAACGGTAACAACAGGTTCATCTGTTGTCAGTATAATGTAACGGTAATAACTAGTTCATCTGTTATCAGTATAATGTAACGGTAACAACTGGTTCAACCGTTGTCAGTATAATGTAACGGTAACAACTGGTTCATCCGTTGTCAGTATAATATAACGGTAACAACAGGTCCATCCGTTGTCAGTATAATGTAACGGTAAAACTGGTTTATCCGTTGTCAGTATAATATAACGGTAACAACAGGTCCATCTGTTGTCAGTATAATATAACGGTAACAACTGGTCCATCTGTTGTCAGTATAATGTAACGATAACAATTGGTTCATCCGTTGTCAGTATAATGTAACGGTAACAACTGGTTCATCCGTTGTCAGTATAATGTAACGATAACAACTGATTCATCCGTTGTCAGTATAATGTAACGGTAAAAACTAGTTCATCCGTTGTCAGTATAATATAACGGTAACTACTGGTTCAACCGTTGTCAGTATAATGTAACGGTAACAACTGGTTCACCGTTGTCAGTATAATATAACGGTAACAACAGGTCCATCCCTTGTCAGTATAATGTAACGGTAACAACTGGATCACCGTTGTCAGTATAATGTAACGGTAACAATTGGTTCAACCGTTGTCAGTATAATTTAACGGTAACAACTGGTTCAATCGTTGTCAGTATAATGTAACGGTAACAACTGGTCCATCTGTTGTCAGTATAATATAACGGTAACAACTGGTTCATCTGTTGTCAGTGTAATGTAACGGTAACAACTGGTTCATCCGTTGTCAGTATAATGTAACGGTAACAACAGGTTCAACCGTTGTCAGTATAATGTAACGGTAACAACTGGTTTAACCGTTGTCAGTATAATGTAACGGTAACAACTGGTTCATCTGTTGTCAGTATAATATAACGGTTACAACTGGTTCATCTGTTGTCAGTATAATGTAACGGTAAAAACTAGTTCATCCGTTGTCAGTATAATGTAACGGTAACAACTGGTTCATCTGTTGTCACTATAATGTAACGGTAAAAACTAGTTCATCCGTTGTCAGTATAATGTAACGGTAACAACTGGTCCATCCGTTGTCAGTATAATATAACGGTAACAACTGGTTCATCTGTTGTCAGTATAATGTTACGGTAACAACTGGTTCAACCGTTGTCAGTATAATGTAACGGTAACAACTGGTCCATCCGTTGTCAGTATAATATAACGGTAACACCTGGTTCAACCGTTGTCAGTATAATATAACGGTAACAACTGGTTCATCTGTTGTCAGTATAATGTAACGGTAACAACTGGTCCATCCGTTGTCAGTATAATATAACGGTAACCACTGGTTCATCTGTTGTCAGTATAATGTTACGGTAACAACTGGTTCAACCGTTGTCAGTATAATGTAACGGTAACAACTGGTCCATCCGTTGTCAGTATAATATAACGGTAACAACTGGTTCAACCGTTGTCAGTATAATATAACGGTAACAACTGATTCATCCGTTGTCAGTATAATGTAACGATAACAATTGGTTCAACCGTTGTCAGTATAATATAACGGTAACAACTGGTTCATCCGTTGTCAGTATAATCTAACGGTAACAACAGGTCCATCCGTTGTCAGTATAATGTAACGGCAACAACTGGTTCATCCGTTGTCAGTATAATATAACGGTAACAATTGGTTCATCTGTTGTCAGTATAATGTAACGGTAACAACTGATTCATCTGTTGTCAGTATAATGTAACGGTAACAACTGGTCCATCCGTTGTCAGTATAATGTAACGGTAACAACAGGTCCATCCGTTGTCAGTATAATGTAACGGTTACAACTGGTTCATCTGTTGTCAGTATAATGTAACGGTAACAACTGGTCCATCCGTTGTCAGTATATTGTAACGGTAACAGCAGGTTCATCTGTTGTCAGTATAATGTAACGGTAACAACTGGTTCATTTGTTGTCAGTATAATATAACGGTAACAACTGGTTCATCCGTTGTCAGTATATTGTAACGGTAACAACAGGTTCATCTGTTGTCAGTATAATGTAACGGTAACAACTGGTTCATTTGTTGTCAGTATAATGTAACGGTAACAACTGGTTCATCCGTTGTCAGTATAATGTTACCGGGTGGAATAGTGTTCTTGGTGCCTTCGGCATGGTGTGTCAATGAGGTAGCACTCTAAAGTCGCCATGAGATCCTCGCTATCGCAAGGAGGTAAATATACCAACATAGCGGCTCCAGCACGCAGATCCACATACATTATTAACATAAAGGCACGTCCTTTCAATACCTTAGCTGTTAATAGGGCGTTAAATCCGATAAAGCCAAAACTGACCAAACCAAATCGTACTCTGGGGTCGACATTGCATTTGAATAAGTGTCAACATTAGGAGAGGTCATTTATATGCCATTTTCGGATTACCAAGTTACTAAGCAATCCCAGTTTCACCCCTGAATGAAAGCGGATGTCCACGTATTGGATTATAAATCACAATTACCAGACTTCCGTCCAGTAATCTCTCCGCCTTTTAACAAGTACATAATAGAAAGATTAAGGTTTAGTGTCTGGTCTGATCTACATACAGCAGCAACTCCCCGTCTATAGCCTTCTGACTTTACCTTTAACTGGAAATGTAGATTTTGTCAACGTAAATCTTTGATATACAACAACGACACAAATTCTGCTTGTACCGAAATGTCAGCCTATACCCGTAGAAGGTATAAACGTAAATGTTCAGTGTAGTACCCGGAGGCCATGTCGATAGACAGATCAACATTGGTGGTCTAGTACACAGGGGTAAGGCACTGACTAACCCCCACCCCTATATGCTTATAAAAAAGCTATATCAAGCTGACAAATATTGGTCTTTTTAAATTATTATTATTATATTATAGTATAGGGGGTGTGGTCTAGTACATCGCCTCCGTGTTCCAATATCCTCGCCGACTTTGTGTACAAAACAAAATCTAAGAGAAAAACGCAAACTTTCATACTTTTATTGAATAGAGGTGATTAAATACAGTCATCAAACTAGAAAAAGTTTGGTCACACTTCGTGTTTAAACTAACCACAAGATATGTTATTTTTGATCTCAGGAACTGTTCTTCCGGCAAAACGGGGATAAGCTAATAAAATGCGTCGCACAACAGTGATGACAATACAGTGTTGTTCTATATAGCCTGTGTGTATATGTACTGTTAACGAAACGGTTCTGTGAATTTCAATGACGATATTTCAGTTGGAACACGACCCTTGAAAAGCAATGAAAAATAAAAATAAAACTTAATTAATATTAAAAATGAATATATATTCTTCTATAATTAAATCGCTAAACTACAAAGACTTTTATCAATGCTGTCAAGCTTACACATAGTATAATATCAGTAATTCCCATTATTGGGAAGTTGTCAATTATACAACCTTTGTTTATTTAGTCTAATTTGGGTGCTATACACTGCGCATATCTAACTCCGGTACAATACACACATCGCATGTCTACATCTGGTAATGCACACAGCGTAAGTCTAATTCTGGTTCACTGAGCATGTCTGCTGTTGGAACTGCACATAGCGTATGTCTAGTTCTGGTACTTCACACTGAGCATGTCAATTTCTGGTTTACTGAGCTGTCTAGTTCTGGTACTGCCCAGTTCTGGTTCTGGTACTGCCCAGTTCTGGTACTGCCCAATGCGCATGTCAAGTTCTGATACACGTTTCGGTCCTTCACATTGTGCAAGAGTCTAGTTCTGGTACACTGGGCATGTCTATTGCTGGAACTGCACATAGCGTATGTCTAGTTTTAGTACTGCACACTGACCATGTCTAGTTCTGGTATACCGATCTGTCTCGTTCGGTACTGCACACTGACCATGTTTCTGGTATACCGATCTGTCTCGTTCGGTACTGCACACTCACCATGTCTAGTTCTGGTAATATACACTGAGCGTGTCCTTTGTCGGTTTTGCAACATGAGCATATTGACCTTTTACAAGCAACATTGCGTCATTCAAATTTGATATCACGTGACCTGACATAGTCTAGTATCGACATTATGTCCAGCAGACAGCACTGTCCTGGCCGAATTTCCATCGTACTATAACAAAACATGAGGTTTTGTAGAGTGTGGTCGTTCTCGAGAACGCTGAAACACACTGACCACAACATTGTATTTGGAATCTATCCAAAACGAATGCGAGTGTCGCATGCAGGCACGTCAACTCTTGTGAATGTGACGAGGAAAGACAATCGTCGTGGACTCGGTAGTCCTGCCGAACATTGGTTCACAACCTTTGGAAATAGAGAGTCCCAAAGTAAATCTCTCGTCACAAGATCTGACAGTTGCAACACTTTGTCTTCCTCGTACACTTCGTCTCCCAAGTACGGCGGGCGCCTGTGATTATCTCCCCTGCTAGGTCTTCGATACCCTCTCCTGTCATGGCGGAGCACTCCACGTAACTAATGGCGCCCATGCGGTTAGCAACCTCTGAAGCCTGCTTAGCAGATATCACAGAACTTCGTACAACCTGAAACATCGAAAACAATCATAACATCTTCAGACGTACTTTTTCATACAGTTTATGTTTTCATATTCCTGTTACTGCACTTAAAGTTTCCATCAAATACCGCAGAAATATTTTATAAAGTATAACGTTATTTCACCTTGACCCTTGACCCTACCATAGAGCTACATTGGCATTTCAAGTAACGATGCGCTACAAGGAGGACGTAAACGTAATAAGCAGGTATTTGTACAACAAAACCAAAACGTTGGCATTAATTGAGACTTCCTAACTGTTATAAGACAGTAGTCTACTCTACTCTGGCTTTTAAGTACAGTTTCGTATGAGGATTTGTCTACATTTGTTTTTAGTAATTTCATTTTACTTATAATAACAATGTTTAGTTCTTAGGTGACATGTGATAATCTTAGCAATCGCCCACTGTATGGTGCGTTTTTAGAAATGGTGATTTCTGATTGGTCGAATAGTTGCCATATACAAATCAATGAGTACTGTTGCTTTTCTTTTTTGTCATAAAAAAATAATAACACCTAATTTTGCATAAAACAATGTGTGTCTATTAAATGAAATCATAAGGGATGACCAATATTTTTTTCTTGTTTTGCATTATAAAACTGCACGCCATTTTGCGGTTAATGCAAATTACACGTCCTTTGTTAAGTTAACACGGCATTAAAACGAGCATGTTATTGGTCCACCACATTATACATTATATTGGTATATGTTTTTGCTATTATGTTTCAGACAAATCCTTGACCCGCCCTTGACTATTCCTCTTTGTTTCGGACAGGCACTGGAGCAGCCCTCTTCGTTCCAGAAAACCTTTGATCATTCCTCTTTTTTATCAGACAGGCACTTGACCAGTCCAGTTGTGCTATTTGATATATAATATATATAGGTACCTGATCCCGGGTGTTGGGTTTCTTGGCCCGGATATCCGTCTGTGTACCCACAAGTACGAACGGTGTATCCGGCATGTACTGACGGAGTTCTGGTACCCAGCACGTCTCCGCATTCTCCAGGGACTCCGGATTGTTTACGGAGAAACAGATCAAGAACACGTCACTGTTGATGTATGAAAGCACCCGAAGCTTGTTAAAATCCTCCTGTAAAATACAGCCAAATGTTTAACTACAGCAGAACTTTGGACAGCAAACAAAAAGTCACAGCTGGTTCGGAGGGTCAGTCTTAATCCTTAGTTCGAATTGCATAAGCCGTTACATGTTACAATCCTGTTTCATAACCAACCTCTTTGTACTATCAAGACTAAGTCATTGTTTGTTTACCTTTCAATAAGATGCGGGGGGTACACATATACTAGTGTGCATTCCGTTATTGAATATTTTCTCAAGAGTTTAGAACTTTTGCTGTGGACGAGACAAATGTTAATTTAGAACTTTTGCTGTGGACGAGACAAATGTTATGAATTTGTTACCGCTGACTTAAGCAATATTTCTCTATTTAACATATAGAAAAAGTGAAGTGCATATTTTTTTAATTAAATTTCCATAAAAACCATGAGATAATGAAAAGTTTAAATAGGTTTGTTCGAATAATGGCTAAATACCAGCTTTAGACTGGTTCCATAATGACAGACTGTCGTAAAGCGGACGTTTGATCGTAAAACTTCAGGTTGATTGCGATAGTTAGACTCAGGAATGTCCACACACAAACCAACCATTTGGTTCAGTGGTCACTCTGCTGATGTAGTGTGTATAAAAAGTAACCTCATGGTTGTGTACGTGTAAGGTAAACTGAAGGTTGTGTGTGTAATAAGGTAACCTAACGTGTGTGTCTGTAATAAGGTAACCTAACGTGTGTGTTTGTAATAAGGTAACCTAACGTGTGTGTTTGTAATAAGGTAACCTAACGTGTGTGTCTGTAATACGGTAACCTAACGTGTGTGTATTTAATACGGTAACCTAACGTGTGTGTCTGTAATAAGGTAACCTAACGTGTGTGTTTGTAATAAGGTAACCTAACGTTTGTGTATTTAATAGGTAACCTAACGTGTGTGTTTGTAAGAAGGTAACCTAACGTGTGTGTTTGTAATACGGTAACCTAACGTGTGTGTTTGTAATACGGTAACCTAACGTGTGTGTTTGTAATAAGGTAACCTATCGTGTGTGTCTGTAATACGGTAACCTAACGTGTGTGTTTGTAATAAGGTTACCTATCGTGTGTGTTTGTAATACGGTAACTTAACGTGTGTGTTTGTAATATGGTAACCTAACGTATGTGTTTGTAATACGGTAACCTAACGTGTGTGTTTGTAATACGGTAACTTAACGTGTGTGTTTGTAATAAGGTTACCTATCGTGTGTGTTTGTAATACGGTAACTTAACGTGTGTGTTTGTAATATGGTAACTTAACGTGTGTGTTTATAACATAACGTGTGTGTCTGTAATAAGGTAACCTAACGTGTGTGTTTGTAATACGGTAACCTAACGTGTGTGTTTGTAATA